GGCTATAATCAGATAGATTTGTCATTATATTGTAACATTTACTAACTAAAAACCAAATCTTCATAAATTCTCACACATTTCCATTAAATCACAAATCCAAAAACTGCACCTTTTTATTCAATTTCACAAATGGCAAAAGGAGATAAGAGAGACCAAATTAGTCAAATCTGGAAACAGAAAATCCAAAAAAAAAATCCGTTTTTTGCAACAATCAAACACCTGAAATTGAAGCTCTTCTCTTACCCCATGAGATTGACGCGGAGGCGATTGCTAAGCTCGACGAAAAGCTCAAACATCTGACCCAAATCGGCGGCGTTTCCATGGGAGTACAAAAGCGTACCATTAGCTTTCGGGTGTTTCACATAAATAGCGACGATCTCGTTGCCACGACGAGTACGCAGCTTCAGAACGTCAACGTCGTCGCGGCGAGGAACTTCGGTTATGTACAATCGGTCAACGGAGGAGCTGTCGTCGGTGGTGGTAATCAAACCGTAAGACGGTGGTGTTGGCGGGAAAAAAGCGAATTTAGCGGCGATCGATGAAGTTACTCCTCCCATGGCGAAGACGACGATGATGATGATGATGAGTCTCTTACCATCACACACCAGAACCACCTCTTACTCATAAATTAACTTAACCCCAATTTCTGAATCGGGAATTGGAGAAAAAACCCTAGATTCCGCGCTTTTTAGGTTTCCGAGATCTTAAGGAAAAGAAAGGAGAAAACGACACAACGATAAAAAGGAGAAGTGGAAGAAGATAAAGAGGGAAGGAGGAAAGGAGAAGTGGGGCAGAGTTGGAAAAGGAAAGCCGAAAATTGAAGAATTAGATTGAGATTTATCGTTTCGAATACGGTGGCGCGTGAGGTGAACAAGCGGCGCGTGTGGGATGAGAGCAACAGTCGTGAAGTGTCTCGTTGACAATCGCAGCTTCTCTCTAAAATGGTCTAAAATGGCCGTTGTGACACGCAGCTATCAATTCTTTTGTTTTGTTTTGTTCAATCATTTTATTTTATAGCTTTCGCATTAGTCGGCCTAAATATTAGATTAATCAAAGAAGTATCAAAATTCACCAAAAAAATCAAAGAAGTATCAAACGTTTATTTTCGTGTTTCTCTTTTGTCTGGCTGCCAAAACAGTTTTTTGGAAATTAGAAACAGTATATATAAAAAAATTATTTATAGACATGTATAACAATAAGATTTTAAGGGTTTTTTTTTTTTTTTTTTTTTTTTTGTCAAAAATCTTTGTCTCTTAAACGATTCGAAAATTTAAGCTTGGACAAAGTTTACACATAGATCATAAATGAGATCTCGACTGAATTAAATATAAGAAACAAACCATATATTCTAATATTTTTAATGATAGTGTGACTACAAAATAAATAAATTTTTGGAACCAGTGTATCAATTTATATACTAATCATGTAAATCGTTTATTTGATGATCTTTTGATAATAATGGATATCCTAAAAGATGTATTTTTTAAATTTTAACATATTATAAAGCCAATGTTTTCATAGTTTTCCAAATTATAAGACTAGTTAGATGATGTAGATGACCTACCTCCTTCTCTTTTTCTTTTAATAAAAAATTCCAATGGACGAGTAAAATTGTACGTGCGCTGTGATGACTTGTGGAAGTGGTGGATAGATGTAAATTCAAGTTTACGGAGCAAAGACAGTTAGTGGCACTCACATCTTCACATAATACGTTTACGGATGATTACTTATGGATACATTTAGTTATTTAAAATGAAGGATTATGGTACCATGGTTTGACCGAACCGAATTATGCAAAATAAGTTCAAAAAATTATTTTCAGTTTGACTTTACAATGTGTCTATTTGAGTATGAATAATTTTTCATTATTCCTATGAGTGGATCAAAAAACAAAACATCTATTGAATTCCGAAAAGAAAAAAAATCATAACAAAAAGAACCGGAAAAAATCTTTGAATGAATCTGTATGTGGCAAATGTGTCGACAGTGAGTTGTTATGCAATTCGAGGTCGGTCACCCTAGCTTGAACTTGTAGTAATTATTCCGGTTAAACAACATCTTTTCGTTTATGTAGATGTTCGTGATAGTATATCCCTCCAATTATTGTCTTGTATTGAAAAATATATGCATGACTACGTCCGTACATAGATTTAACAAATTTATCTTTCATGATTCATTATTGTGTCAATGTATTTTGTAATGAAATGATTTTCACCAAATCACAATGACGGTTAGTATTAAAAAAGTTCATCTTATTATTAAAGAGATAATACATTATTACTTAATACAAGAAATCTAGATTAAGTATTCATCGATACAATGGCATGTGGTTGATATAGATTAACTACGTAGATCAGCAGATCATATTTTGTTGTTGTTGTATTGGTTCTTTAGTATCCTTGTCTTCACCGACGGTGGAGATTGGCTACACTTTTGATGACATGCAGTACATTCTCCTGCGGATGATGAGGATTTGCAATGGGGACGACAAATCACACTGCATTGCACTTCTGATTTTGCTTCACCTTTGGTCACAATCAAAACTGCTATGATCATTATCATGATCCACACTAAGCTCAAATTTTTACCCATCTTTTTGTATATATATTGTTTTTTCTTTCTTTCTTTTGTATGTTTTGTGTGTATATGAATGAGTGGATCATATTGTGAACTTACGTATCTATTTATAAATTTTAACAGAGATGACTATGTTATTTACCATTCATTATTTTTGGGCAAGAAATTTACATGTTATAGCAATATATTGTTGATAATGTATTTTATTGTTATTCTGCATAACTATGAAAATATAATCTATTTTTCCTTTGTTTGGATTATTTATGTAGATTCTGTTTTTAAAAATAAAACATTTCTAACAATTCCTTCATTGAAATAAAATTTATGAGATCCTTTTAATGTTTTAATAGAAAAGAATTAGAGATATAACTTATTGTTATACTCCCTCCGTTTCAAATTAGTTGTCGTTTTGGGAAAATGTATATGCAATTATTTGGATGTATCTACAATGCAAAACACGTCCAGATACATCCAAATATTTGCAAATACATTTTGCCAAAACGACAACTAATTTGAAACGGAAGGAGTAGTATTCACTTCTTAAAAAAATTCAAAGGTAATTTGAGTTGTTATTTATTTGACAAGTGTCATATTTTACCATTATTTTCACATTATTTATATTTATGACACTTGTTAAGTATAAAAATGCAAATTAAAACTTTGGATTTTTTTAGAAGTGAATACTATAACAAGAAGTTATACCTCCAATCTTTTTCTATTAATATATTAAAAAAAATCTCACAAATTTTCTATCATAAATTTTATTTCAATAAATTTCTATTATAAATTTTCCACTAGGTATTATCAATGTAAATTTCTATTATTTCAATGTATTGCAATAACATGTAAATTTCTTGCCCAAAAAGTAATCAATTGTAAATGACAGAGTAATCCCTATTCAAACTTATAAATAGAGACCTAAGTTCACAACATGATCCACTCATTCATATACATACAAAATATACAAAAGAAAGAAAAAATATATATATACAAAAGATGGGTAAAAATATGAGCTTAGTATGGATCATGATGATGATCATAGCAGTTGTGATTATGACCAAATGTGAAGCAAAATCAGAAGTGGAATGCAGTGTGATTTGTCGTCCCCATTGCAAAGCTTTTGGATCCGCAGGAGAATGCTCTGAATGTCATCAAAAGTGTAGCAAAGCTCCACCGTCGGTGAAGACAAAGATACCAAAGAATCAATACAACAACAACAAAATATGATACATTGATTCTTCTTAATTAATCTACAAAAACTATGATGATTGTAACGATGAAGACTTTCATATACTAAGTAACAATGTATTCTCTTTAATAATAAGATGAAATTGTTATACTAACCCTCAGTCCCATGCTCATATCAGTGAAAATATTTTAATTAACATACATAAATACAATTAATCATGGAAGATAATCAAGAACGTCTATATAAACAAAAAGATGTTGTTTAACCCAAGAATACAAGAGTTAGATTGAGATTTTTCGTTTCGAATACGGTGGTGCGTGAGGTAAACAAGCGGCACGTGTGTGATGAGAGCAACAGTCGTGAAGTGTCTCGTTGACAATCGCAGCTTCTCTCTAAATGGCCGTGATGAAACGCAGCTTTCAATTCTTTTGTTTTTTTTTTGTTCAATCATTTTATTATTATAGTATTTTTTTTCGCATTAGTCGGCCTAAATATTAGATTAATCAAAGTATCAAACGTTTAATTGCTGTGGTGACTTGTTAAATTTAAGTTTAGGGAGCAAATACAGTAGTGGCACTCACTTCTTCACATAATACTTTCACGGATTATAGTACTATGGTTTGACGGAACCGAATTATGCAAAATAAAGTTAAATTCCTATTCATGTTCTTCAGTTTGACTTGTGTCTATTTGAATCTGAATAAAATTTATTTCCTATGAGTCGGAAAAAAAAACATATATTGAACCGGAAAAAAAACTTTGAATGAATCTGCATGTTGCAAGTGTGTCAACACTGAATTGTTATGCAATCCGAGTTGTCACTCTACTCCCTAGCCTGAATTGTTTCGCAAAGATAATCAAGAGAGAATATACAATACAATAATTTGATACAGAAACAACATCTATAAATATAAAATGAATTATATAGTCTTTAACTTTATATTATTTTTCGAAGATGTAGTGATTATGGCCGGTCTAACAACATCTTTTCGTTTATGTAGACGTTCTTAATTGATTCTATATTTCTCCAATTTATTATCATGTATTGAAAAATATTTGACTATGTACCTACATAGATTTAACCAAATTATCTTCCATGATTAATTGTGTCAATGTACTTTGAAAATAAATGATTTTCACCAATATGAGCATCACAATGAGGGTTAGTATAAAAAAATTCATCTTATTACTAAAGAGATAATACATTATTACTTAATACAAGAAATCTAGATTAAGTCTTCATTGATACAATCATCATGTGTTTGCTATAGATTAACTAAGTAGATGCATATCATATTTTGTTGTTGTTGTATTGGTTCTTTAGTATCTTTGTCTTCACCGTCGGTGGAGATTGACTACACTTTTGATGACATTCAGAACATTCTCCTGCGGATGATGAGGATTTGCAATGGGGACGACAAATCACACTGCATTCCACTTCTGATTTTGCTTCACCTCTGGTCACAGTCACAACTGCGATGATCATTATCATTATCCACACGAAGCTCAAAATTTTACCCATCTTTTTGTATATGTTGTTTTTTTCTTTCTTTGTATGTTCTGTATGTATATGAATGAGTGATTCTTGTTGTGAACTTACATATCTATTTATAAGTTTGAATATAGATGACTATGTCATTTACCATTGATTATTTTTGGGCAAGAAATTTACATGTTATAGGAACACATTGTTGATAATGTCTAGTGGAAGTATTTAAAGATATAATATCTAGTGGAAGTATTTCATATTTTAACAATACATTATTGATATTTTATTTTATTGTAATTCTCTATAACTATGAAAATATAATCTATTTTTTCTTTGTTTGGATTTTTTTGAAGATTTGTTTTTAAAACTAAGACATTTTCTAACCATTCCTTCATTAAAATAAAATTTATAATTGAAATTTTGTGAGATCCTTTTAACCTTTTAATAGAAAAGCATTAGAGATATAACTTATTGTTATAGTATTCACTTCTTAAAATATCTAAAGGTAATTTGCATTTTTATTTATTTGACAAGTGTCATATTTTACCATTATTTTCACATTATTTATATTCATGACTAACAATATAAAAATGCAAATTAAGACTTTGGATTTTTTAAGAAGTGAATACTATAACAAGAAGTTATATATCTCCAATCTTTTTCTATTAAAATATTAAAAGGATCTCACAAATTTTCCATTATAAATTTCTAGGCATGATGTCGGACATAACAAGATCATGATCAACAATGTATTTAATCTCGGAGATAACGAGATTATAATCAACAATGTATTGCTATTATTAGGAGATCTCGGAGATAACATCTCGTCTTGGAAGGAAAGTGAAGATCTCCTAATTAACAGCTATAAATGTAAATTTCTTGCCCAAAAATAATCAATGATAAATGACATAGTCGTCTCTATTCAAACTTATAAATAGATACATAAGTTCACAACATGAATCACTCATTCATATACATACAAAACACACAAAAGAAAGAAAAAAAAACATATACAAAAAGATGGGTAAAAATTTGAGCTTAGTGTGGATCATGATAATGATCATAGCGGTCGTGATTGTGACCAAAGGTGAAGCAGCATCAGCAAAGGAATGCATTGAGATTTGTCGTCCGTATTGCAAACCTTTTGCTTCCCAAGGAGAATGCAATGAATGTCATCGAATGTGTATTCAATCTCGGTCGGTGAAGACAAAAATACTAAAGAACCAATACAACAATAACAAAGTATGATATGCTGATTTTTTTTTTTTTTTTAATCTAGATTCTTGTATTACGTAATAATGTATTCTCTTTAATAATAATATCATTTCCTCGCCCACGAATACAAGATTGTTCTCCATACCTTTACCAAAAATTCCTAAGCTAGAATTATAATTCTATTTCACAAGAAATCATATAGGAAAAACTAAAAACTTGAATTGTGTAAACTATCTATTGATCGAGTTTTATGAAATCGAAGTAATCACAAAAAGTGTCAATATTTGTGTATATTTCGGAGGTTTATTATTATTGTTCAGGGATAGTTACAAGAACAGGACGCCAAACTCTTTGAATTAACCTACACCGAAATGTAGCAGATACTGGCCTCATTAAGCCGTTAAAGCCGTTACGGCGACGAACCGTTAACCTTTCCACATCACTAACGCCGTTATCAACCGTCTCCTCCCTTGCGCCGCCGCAATGCTCTCTTTCTTCGACCGGAGGCGGCGAAGTGACAAAGAGCTCTCTCAGCTTCCGCCGTGATCGGATCTTCTTATCTCTGGACTTTGCGGTTACATCGATCTCCGGAAAATCTGTCGATCGGGTGAGTAACATACGCAGCGTTTTACGACGGCGGAGGTGGATCACCGGGCTACGAGTTGGACTCTCCGCGACTGTGCTGCAGCGAGTCGCGAGAAGCTTGAATTTCTGCAGCGACGCCATTGATGATCTCTGTTTCTTATTTTGGTTCGATTTTGGAATGAATATCACAACAAAACTAAGTTATTATTCTTTTATAAATTAGAGATTATAAAAGGAGGATATAGCTATTTTATTTTTTTTTTTTTTTATTTTTAAGTGAATGTGTTCTAATGTTTGTGTTTATATAGTGGTACATCATGTGTTTTAACATAGCAATAAGAAACTCCTAAAAAAGAAATAAATGAATGATGGGAAAAGTAGGTTGACTACATTTATTACTATGTGCATATTTTCACCATGTCAGAATTATAGTATCAATTAATCAAAGAAAATTTGTATCTATATTAGAAAGAGATTTTTTCCTCTGCTTTTTAGTTTCTTATTAATGTATGGAAACTTTTTGACTAATCAGTAGTTTTCTAGAGGATTAAAAAACATCAATAAAATACTATATGTGGTTATTATTATTTTTTTTTGTCGACATGCTATGTTCCTCGAATGGTCCGGAGATCCAAGCTGGCGGAACAAAGTTTATGTAATACACATCATGAAAGAGATCTCGTGCACTATGTACTAGCTTGTTTTCCTTTGTGTTCTTTGTCCTTGGTATGTGATGGATGAAAAAGGAGGTGAATCGTCTCCTACATGGTCTAGTTCGTCAGAAGAATCGAATACTCGCAACACCAAGCACAAGGATATTTGAGATTATCAGCATCGAGTTTCAAAGACCTCATTTCAAGCTTATAGCTAAGTGGAAAGGTTTCGAGTATGTGATGCATTTGGCGAATTCACGAGCGGATCCAACTGCTGTGATTGAGAAGCTTAAGGAGATAATGAAGAGCCGTGGATGCTGAAGAAAGAAAATGGAATCAGAATAGTGAGTGAGTACGAGTCTCGGAATCAGAATAGTTATGATAATTATGTTTTCAAAGGTTTATTTTTAGATGGGTAAATGATTGGCAAGCAGTCTGTAAATTGGTTATTTGCCTTTTGTACTAAACATGCTTTCTAATGTAGATTTATTGTTATTATCATCAAATTATAATTATTGGAATATACATTTGATGATACTTAAAAAAATAGTGTATTGGAATGTATACTACATTTGATGATACATAGTCAAGCTAATAAAATATCTTACACGCCATTTGTTACAATCTTTTATAATTCTGAAAACTTCTCTCATATAAAATAATATAGTAATGTAGGACATAAACGATCTCCGAAATCTATGTTTCTATCAGTTTAAAATTGTCACAATTATGTAGACGGATTAGTGTAACGGAAAATTATATAAATTAGAATCTAATACAAAAAAAATGAAAAGAAGATGAAGTCTTCTCTGTTCAGTTTTGTTGAAGATTTTGCAACGTCTGTCTATAATAAAAATTAATTTGAGTACGTTAATTAGAAATTTGGAAATCATTTTTTTCTGAGGTACATAAGAGAAAATAATATTGTGTAGATAGATAACTTGATATAGATACACATATATATAACTTAATTTATATATATATATATATAAGTTCATTCAATTATTTTATTCTAAATCTTGTCGTGATATCTTATAAAATAACAAAAATGCGACTGTATTAATCTTCTAATAACTTTTTTTTCAAATTTGTTATTCAACCATAAAATAGTTGAAGAACTTCCATATTTTATTTACTAGGTTTGAAGCCCCGCGCAAGCGCGGGGTCGTTTGCGGTAGTTTGTTTGTTTAATTTTATTTATACTCGTTGATTTGAATTATGATGGTTTTGTGTTAACTTTCATGTTTTTTTTATGTTTTGAGTTAACTCATCCACTAAGACTAAAAAATATGAATAATTTATTTTTTATTTTAATTTATTAGGATATTAACACTCTGCTTTATCTCGAGTTTTCTATTTCTAAAATTTTATCATGTTATAAATATTATGTTTGTTTACTTTTTTTTTTACTTCTATTAGATTGTAAACATGTATATGTATCTGACTGAAGGTTAAAATTTATAAATATGTATATGGATTTGACTGAAGGTTAAAATTTGTAAACATATTCTTGTTTCTTCACTACAATTAAATTTACATATAACACTCCATTTCTATTTGTTTAGAAAAACAAACTATAACTCTAATTTTTCATTAACTTTCTATTATCTTAATTAATTTATATTCAACTTTTTAACTTGTAAACATATTATAACATTTTTAAATAGGATAAATCCTTTGAATAAAAAGGTAAATATATATACTATTTAAAGTTAAATATTTGTTTACTTCATCTCTGTTTTATATTCCAACTTTTTGATACTTTTATATTCCAACTTTGCGATAATTTTTCTGTTTGATTTTATTTATATTCATTGATTTGAAAATTTGAATTATAATGGTTATATGTTAACTTCCATGTTCTGATTATATTTTGAGTTAACCCAACAATTAACACTAACAATATGATATTTTTTTTATTAATATATCAACACCTTACGTCATCTCGAGTTTTCTTTTTCTTAAATTTAATATGCATTTGACTCAACGTTAAAATTTGTAAACATGGTGTACAATCGCAATTGCACTCAAAATATGATGAAAAACAAAAACATGTATAACTTCTTACATATATGCTTTGTTGTGGTAGCATATGACAATTGGTTATTTTCTATTATGTTAGTTTTGTAAATATAAATTATATTTTTGAATCAAACATGTCACCATTTTAAAAAATTTCATACTTTTCGTTGCAATGAAATTTAAATAATAACTCGACTTCTATTTTTTAATAAAACAAACTCTAAGTATAATTTTTTATTAGCTTTTTACTATGTTAAATAATTTATTCTGTACCTTTTTTACTTGTAAGCACATTATAAAAAATTTAAATAGGATAAATCCTTTGAGTTAAAACCTAACTATATACTATTTCAAGTTAAATATTTATTTATTTCATCTCCATTTTAAATTACAACTTTCTTTTAACTTTTAACATCAAGATATCACATACTTTATATTAATCAATTAAATTGTTTGTGTATTTTTCTTAGTTTTGTTTATGTGTAAAATAGGAATATATATAAAGAAATATTAATACACATATATTAAATATCTTAAATACAATTAATGATTTTTTTGCTGATGTGGATAGCCTAGGAGGAAAGAGCAACTCTCATATTATATATAAGATATAGATTAAGGAAAATCAAATTTTAATTATAAAACATTATTATTTGAATTTTGCCTCTTTAACAAGTATAAATACAAACACATTGAGGACCTCTGCAGAGAAATTTATAAAAAAAAATTGCAGAGAAATTTATAAAATTTTCGTCTACTCTCTGTCGCATGTCTTCGGAAATTGCAAGTTCATAACTACAGAGATTTCTACGCGCTTCTCTTTAAAAGCTTAGCAGAGATTATACAGGTTTGATTTCTATTTGATTTTGTTCAGAAATATTGTTTCACCTATAGTATATATGCTTTCTCTTCTCTATTCGAGATCTTAGTTCTCCGTCAAATAATCGTTTGTAATTTTGAAAAGTTGAATAGAGAATTGATAATTCGTATGTGATATAAGTCAGAATTGAAGTATTCTCTTCCATGATTTATGTTTGGTCTATTTTTTGGGGTATTTGCTTACATATCTCAGTTGATTTGGATGTTTTTTATCACAGTCTTTTTTGAGGTTTATGAATACATGAGAGTAGGGAATTATGATTTACAGACTATTTCCATGTCGAGACATGATGATTCTCGAAATTTACAAAGTCCTCTTATTTATTTTTTTAGAACTCTTCACAAATACGATGGAAGAGATGAGATTGCCAGAGAAACTATTTGAGACTGATTTTGAACCTACGGGCAGAAAAAGAGTCAACAACTACTTCACCCTTAGATAGGTGGAAATTATTAAGAGAGCTCTTGACAAAGAGTACATCAAGATTGTAATACCCATTTCCCGATCAACTTGTGCCCTAGGTCTCGCGCGCTAACTTGAAACACAAGCAACACACCTGCACACTAAAAAGGGCGAAAAAGAGGGGTGAGTAATGAATTACTCAGTGAGGAATGATCATCCCTGCCCACATGAAACACATTACAATAATAATTCACAACAATATACGCACATACTAAATAAAGATAAGGCACAAACATCACTCAACCTAGCATGCCTAATAACAACCAACCTACTATCTATCCACATAAACATCTTAACCATACTTCACATACTCATAACATCACAATACTCATCACATCACATATCATAATACTCATAACACTTTCACATGACAACTAGGCTGGTCGGGCACCTCGAAAGGTCTTCCACCACCTTCTGGCTCGTCAGCCGTTAACGGGCTTCGACGGGATCGCCATGTCCTCGTCCTCAATCCGACTTCACCAAAACAAACGGCTTCGACGGGATCGCCATGCCCGCGCACAAACAATCTTACACTATTCAACATACTAATATATCATCATTCTACTTTCACATTCACAATGCATGCCTACCTCAAACAGTCCATCTCTTAACTTAGCATATAACGGATATGGAAGCGAATTACTACGCAATGCGAGTCCACAAGTCACATATCCTCACCTTAGCCACTTTGAAAATTAACCCCGGAAGAATAGCGATTGCGCTTCGGAGTCGCAGCAAAATAGCGGTTGAAGCGGTTGGGAAAATAGCGGTTAAAGCGGTTGCGGTTGAAACGCGATTTCTGACTATCTGCGTTTGCGTTCTGAGAAATTGCGTTTGACAGATTCGCGATCCAAAACTGCGTTTGCGTTTCCAAAACGAATTAGGGTTTTTCTGAAATTTTCCAGAAACACAGAAATTCTGATCCACAAAGAACCGCCGATAACTTACTGGTTACATGTCCGATCGGCGCGATCTCGACAGATCTGGAAAGATGAGAGTCTCCTCTTTTCAACGACACCAAGTTTGGCTTCTGGGTCCTTCTGGATCGTCCGAAATCCAGCCCGCAAAACAGCACAAACAAAACTGTTCGGATTAGAATTCTATTTTTTACAGATCTGAAACCTTCCAAAGAAACGATCATAACTCTCTCGATATACCTCTGAATTGCAAGATTCTGAATTCTATAGAAAGCTGAGAGATAGACCTTTCCAAAGAGACCAATATCACACTCTGATTCTCTCTATATAGACGGAAAATGGTCCCGTAAGTTGACGGCTTGGGACTGCTTTGGTTGCTAAGGCTGGAGAGATTTTGGCAGAGCTTCGCTTTAGATTTCTCTTGAATCTCTTTGTCTCTTGACGTGGTGTATAAATAGAAGGAGGCAGGGGGTTTAGGTTAGGGTTTTAGGACGTGGGCCTTACGTCACGGGCTTTTAATTAGGTTTTTGGAAAAATCGGGATTGGGCCGTGACAATTCTCCCCCACTTTAATGGGATTCGTCCTCGAATCTATGGTATGAACCTCGCTCTCATCCTTAGAGATCTCTGAATGGTTTGTCCTTAATTGTTATTCCGATCTCCATGTCTTTACATGATGACCTCTAATTCTTTTGGTTCTGACTCTCACTCAACTTGATAATTTTAATTCAAGTGATATTGTCTTGTAGGTTTTCCAAATTTTCTTCAGTTCCAAAACTTTCTTGTTTCAAGGTATACCACACCTCAGACATCAAACTCTTAGCTATTCTTCTTTGTGTCAGTATGTTCTATTTGGTGATTGCAATGGACACCTTTTCAGCATAACCAAAAGCACTTTTACTTATTCCATTGTCTCTCGAACCAACTCCGACTCTATCTCTCAACGCTCCTCCAATTTTGCTTTTGTTAAACTCACTTTGGTGTGTCCTTCTCCTCACTTCCTTACCGACATCAAATTCCAACATGACTCAAGAATCACCTCGTACCTCCCATTATCTAATATGGGTAAATGGCTTCTTTATGTTTCACTTGATACTCTGAGGTCCCCTTTCTCTTGAGCTATCAAGTTTTCATGCGTTTTTCTTTCCAATTACGTTCTCTAGTGTCACTGAAAATCTTCTCTACTATAGGCAAAAATCCAATATGAGTGGCATCTCCTCATAGTCTTTGGTAAATCGATCCATTTCTACACATTCTAGTATATCCACCTTCACCGTCCTTAGTAAAGTTCTCGCACTTTCTCTAGCAAAGTCTTTCTGAATTTGTTTCACTCTCCTTAGCTATCCAATTTAGCTGGGATTAGTATGAGCTCTGACATTTCCATATCTTCCCATATGCAAAAGTGTTCAAAAACCCAAGCACTCTCTTGACTCACGTAACCAGCTTTATGTTTAGACACGTTAATCAATATTTCTCATCTCAGCTCTTCCAACATCTACAAACGCTCTTCATAGCTGCTCCACTAGCCCATTGATTCAACATAACATGTATTTATCCTTTCAAATAACATGTCCCCAAATTCTTGGGTATACTCCCTTACAACCTCTCTTATAACTTCACCGCCTAGAGTCCTATTCCCTTAAAAAGTTTCAAAAGCATTTCTCATTTTCCTTAGCAGATCTTCTACAAGTTGATGACAATAACTCCGACTCGCTTCCTTGTAGTATTCAAACCCAACAGCAATATTTTGAAATACTTCATGACTGCTTCCCCACATACACTTCCAAAAATATTTCTCATGTCCCTTAGTAGATCATCAACACGTTGATAACAATAACTTTAGCTTGTTTCCTTGGTTTTGTGGATCTCTTTCTCCCCCACTTTTTCTCTAAACCACACTTTCAAAAGTCCTGCTCCATGCTATACCAATTTCCCTAATTTTGATAAAATCAGAACGAAGCCTTCCTACATACCCAATGTACTAGCAATTTGCTACAACTCATCATCTTGTCTGGTTGACTCACAAAATTCCATCAACCACTTTTTTGGAGTTCATCTTTACATTCCTTCTCAGTTGGCTAACTTGGCCCTCATATTGAACTTTAACACGGTCTTGGGGTCTTACTTTCTCAATATCCAAACATTAGACAATGGTTTTTATTTTGGGAATCCAAAATATGTTTCCATGACCAAATGCATTTTATGACATTAAGGATTAACTACATGCTCCCACATTCCCAATGTGTTACTTCCTTTTTCTCCAACGCTTGAATGAATCCTCATTCACTATGCATGTGGTACCTTCCATGACTTGGGTCGCTTTTCCTTTATGACTTACACTTATACAAACTTTATTTCTTACAACATGCTTCTGTATGAGGAATTTCATGCTCTCTTGGTTCTCGGAGGTCCATCATATGTTTTACCAAACTCCTAGACCTCTGCAAGTGCACAGATCGCGGAAGTATGGGTATCGAACACAAGTACTGGCAATTGAATACACTTTGAATCTATGGATTTTGGATCAAGCTAAAACAAAAGTATGATTGAGGTTGTAATGGTGAACCGAACTAGCAAGTATAACGAGGTTGTAAAAAATAAAGGAAAAGCGCTAGGTCATAGGGGCTATCGCAGAGAAGCAAACAATGATCAATGAAACAATGATAGATTAATTGATTAGGGATATTGGGATATTCCAGTTTCGAGGCTCCGGCTCCTTTGCTAATCTACCTAGTCGCTAAACTTTTGGTATGTCCCTAGGTGATTAGATCAAGCATTAGAATGAATACAGTAGAACCTCTATAAAACAATACTCGATAAAACAATAAACACTATAAGATAATATTTTTCTCCGGTCCCAACTCGGGCCAGTGTAAAAAATAGCATAATGCGATAAGATGATAAGACAATAATATTTTTGAAACTCTTATGCAAAAATATAGTCCCAACAATAAGCTAAGACAATAATTATAAAACTAATGCATATATATCTAAGATAATTTAGTAAAATATGACTCCAATGTAGTTTGTATTTTCTGAAAATTGGATATGTATTCTCAACATGCAGCCAAAAGTTGTGAAGAGTTCTCGAAGCTACAATTGCATCCTTACGTGTAACTACTTGCACATGTACTTCCTCATCATCTTCAATTTCATCTTCACCATTAAGAACAGTAGACATAATTTCTTATAGACTTTGAACTTCTGAGCATGAAATATGTAAATAACAAAGTATAAGGAAAATTTGAATTAAAAATCTAAAGAAAATATATTTCTATAAAGTTTCTTGTTTTTGATAGAATATTTCTATAAAATAATAATTATTGTTTTATCGATAAAATAATAATTATTGTCTTATCGATAAAATAATAACTCTATAAGATAATAAAATTTCAAAGTCCCAACATTATTGTTTTATAGAGGTTTTACTGTATGTTCTGATACAGTTCACTAGATATAGATAGATCAACTTTCGCAGTCTAAGAAACCTAGCTTGTCAAAGAATATGTCCGGCGAATGATACAGCACTGTCGAGGCTCAAATCAACCTAAGATCGGATTACTAGATGCGCGGTAAAGCAATCAGCATTAGTTAAGTGCACAAGACGAGACAAAGACTCTAATATAATCCCTAGCTAATCATTGAAATCAAAGATCATGCAAGCAACTCATTGAATAGTAACCCTAGCAACCTAACTAGTGGATTACTCAGACATGATCAAAGCAAACACACATAGAGATGAAGAAAACATGATTGCAATAAAACTTAGAGTAGGAAATCGAAATACAAGGGCGGCTCTCTTTCTCAAGAGGCTAAAAATCCATATATATAGTGCTAGGTCTTTCTAGAGGCGGCTTAGGGTTAAGCCGGGCTTGAAAACATAAGTTTGGGCTTCAAAAAGGGCTTCGGGTCGACCGCGGCGTTGGGACGGTCGTGCGGGACGATCGGCCGGACAATCGGGTTGTGGCCGAGTCGGAACGGTCGGGGTCGGACGGATTCACGGTCGGCGGCGTGGTCGACGGATAGATTTGGCCGATGAAATTCTCGGCCGGACGCGGGACGTTCTTTCCCGGCTCGGACGGAGCATCGGCCGGTACGCGAACGGTTGCGCGGCCGCGAGGCTTTTCCCGGCTCGCGCGCTTTGGTCGTGCGCGGTGGCGTGGCGTGTGGCGTGGCCGACCGCGGGCTTGTTTCCCGGGTCGTGATGCGTGATCGGCCGAGTGGTTTGGACTTTGGCCGAGACTTCAGTCGGACGGACGAGCTTTGGCCGAGCGCGAACATGTGTTCCTCGGCCAGCCGGACTGCGCGGTTTGGGCGCTGTTCTCTCGATAGAGCCGTCTGGACAGTCTCCACTCTTTTGGTTATAACTCCTTTTCTACTCATCCAAATGAGGCCATTCCAGTTGCGTTGGAAAGTTAACTCAATCAGAGCACGCAGGGAACTGGTCTTGATGAAATCCATTGAGTAGATCTTTTTCTGGGCCCTCTTAAAGTTGGTGCTTGTGCATGGAGCTGCTTGAAGTGCAAATCCTATGGTTTTGCTCCAAAATGCATCATTTCACCTGTTTAGACTCTAGACACTATAAACACAGTAAAACTACCTTTTTAGATAGAAAACCTGCCAAAAACCATTAGAAAACAATGCTAAAACAGTATAAAAAGTGGGTAAATTAGAGGTATATCAACTCCCCCAGACTTAGATCTTTGCTTGTCCTCAAGCAAAAAGAATCTAAATCCGTGAAAGAGGTTTGAAAACGTGGAAGCTCCCTTGCTCTTTTGAATATCCTGTGAAAGGTTCCTTTCCTGTATTCCACTATGAACATAGACAACATAAGGTTAGCTTCACATACACCCTGCAAGTTTAGCGAACAATACCAACCCAACTAGTCTCATCCAGCAATCCAAACTCTCTATTGCTAACCTCTTGCATAAATTTAAAGCGTGAATTCTTTATCAAGGGGACATTGATGTACTTGCATTTTACATAGTTTTAGCACATCTTTTATGCATCTTTTGCATAGTTTTAGCTTCCATTTGCATCATATCTTGTTCCTTTTCTCTTCTTATGCATTCATGTTAGTTTTAGGTTGCATTTGCATACATATGCATGTTTGGTCCTTTGAAATAGGTCTTTTGGAGCATTCTGGAGCATATGGGACATGAGGAGCATGGAGGGACTTGGCACATGGAAGCAGCTCAACTGGATACGCAAAGGAAGAAGGGAGAAGCCATCTTGAAGACCAGCTCGACCGTCTACTCGACCAACCGGTCGAGTTCCTCAACTCGACCGGCCAAGCTTCAACTCGATCGAGCTGAGAAGTCAACAGTCAAACCCGAAAAATGTTGCTTCCCCCTTGACTTTCCTTTGACCCTAAACCTAATCCTCTTGTATTTAAAGGCTCTAAGCCACGAAAAAACCACCAAGCTTTAGATTATTTTGTTTTAGTTTCTTTTAATTTATTGTCTTTTACTTTTTAGAACTAATCCCATCTTTGTGTTCTTGAAGCTCTTGCTTCTTGAATCCTAGATCCTGGATAATCTCTTTGTATTTGCACTTGCTTATTTCAATAAAAGTTGTTTAATTTCATCTCCTCTTTCTTATGATGTCTCTTTTATTGCATTTGCTTGTGTTTACATTCATGTGTAGTGAGTAGTTACCCATTAGGGTTTGAGATGGGATAGATTAGAGGTTTCATATGCTTAATCCTTCTAGCTTATGGTCTTAATCTAGATTCTCTCTCTTTTGGATAGATCTTAAGGCTACATGACCACTACCCCTGGCTTGTAAGTCCTTAGGCGATTCCCCACACGAAAGTGATGGCATTCGCTGGAAAAGATCCACTAAGAGCTCCAATATCTCTTGCTCTAGAAATAGAGGTCTAAGGGGTTGGATGGATTAGTTTGGGCAATGATCCTATGCCTCCAAGGTTTGATTCTCACTGGCTAACCCCCTGTTTCTGAGATCATTCCTTGGTTGATAGCCTTCACCTTGGGAAAGGGTTGGCTAGGCATTGAGAAGCCCAATATCAAGAGAAGCCTTGATACAAGGAGTTTTAAGAGCTAGATGATTAAGTGTAGATTCCTTTGATTGCAAAACCCTGTCTTGAACCCTAATTCTCTCTTATCTTGTTAAAGTCGTCACCTTTAGCTTTGTTTGTCTCAACTCGTCCCTAAACTCGATCGAGCTGGTACTTGTTCTGACTCGACTCGAGTCTTGGTCGAGCTGTTACTTCTGCTTTGTTTACTTTTGCATTGCATTTCTTTTCATTTAGGTTGTTAGTGTTACCAAATCTTTACTGCTTGCTTGACTTTCTGGTTGTTTCATATTCTCATAGAGTGACAAGTTTCCCATTTTGGATTGATAACCTCTTGTACTACATGACTATGATGGTTAAGAGGAATTGATTGATTGTGTTGCACCATTTCATCTTATTACCCTGTTTGCATTCCACCTCATATCTTATCATCTTCATTCATATCATCACACACACAAATCCTATCATCAATTTGGCGCCGTTGCCGATTTGGGAATATTTTTGTTGCATTTGAGTTTCAAACACACTTGGACGATCAAGCTATACCACCCCTGTTCTATTGTACTGCTGGGTTTTTGTCTCTTTTTGCAGGTGTATGCGAACTCGATCGAGTCGGTCTACTGAGGACTTGGTCGAGCTAGACTTACAACGGGTAGAAAGAGGGTTCAGAGGTCACAGAGGGTACAAGAGGAACCTGAGGTGCTTGTTGCTGATACAATGGATGTACCAGAGGGGAATGGAAACCCTTTGGGAATGGACTCGGTCGAGCTAGGCAAACTCGACCGATTGGTCAAGGAGATGCTCCAAACCGCCACCAACAGAGACAAGGGATTGTTCCACCACCAGTGCAGAACCACAACTTTGAGATCAAGCTGGGAATGATCAACCTTGTCCAGAACAAGATGTTCCATGGATTGCCAAGTGAAGACCCCATTGACCACCTTGATGAGTTTGATAGGCTTTGTGATTTGACAAAGATCAATGGTGTCTCTGAAGATGCCATCAAGCTGAGACTCTTTCCTATGTCTCTAGCTGACAAAGCTCACCAATGGGAGAAGAGCTTGCCCCATGGCACAATCACCACTTGGGATGAATGCAAGAAGGCCTTTCTTGCTAAGTTTTTCTCCACCGGTCGCACAGCCAAGCTTAGAGGAGAGATATCCAGCTTCATCCAGCGAAACAATGAGACATTCGCAGAGGCTTGGGAGAGGTTCAAAGGCTACACAAGTCAGTGCCCACACCATGGATTCAACAATGAATCACTACTCTCCACTCTTTATAGAGGATGCTTGCCTAGGTATAGGGAGATGCTAGACACAGCTAGCAATGGGAACTTCCTCAACCAGGATGTAGATGATGGCTGGCAACTTGTGGAGAACATGGCCATATCAACAGAATGCTATGGAGAGCACTATGAAAGTACAGACTGGAGCTCGACCGCGCACTCGATCGAGCTGGACGCTCAGATGAGAAAAGACATGCTTGCACTCAACTCGAAGTTGGACAAACTGATCCTAGCCCAATTCCCTGCCAAGCATGTCAACTATGTCTCAGAACAAACCTTAGTCAAGGACCAGGAAGGGGAGGAGACAACACAAGAGGTTTGCTACATTCAAAATAGACAAGGAAGCTATAGGAATCCTCAACAAGGGAGATACAACAATTATCAAGCCCCCTGGCCGCACCAACAACAAAGTGTTCCACAAGGTTCAACCAAGGACTACTCATACCCAACCAACTCAAGATTGGGATATGAAGGAAATGCTCCAACAACTTTTACAAGGGCAAGCCAAAGGTTCTCTGGAAATGAACAACAAGCTGGTTGAGATACACTCTAAACTAGAGTCATTGACTTCAAGAGTCCAAATCATTGAGTCTTCAAGTGCATCATCCTCTTCACCACAAGAGTATGCCCAAGCAGTTACACTAAGAAGTGGGAGGCAATTCCCAGTAGAGGTAGCCCACCCCAAATCGCTGTGGACATCGATGACGAGGAAGGGGAGGATTTAGTCGACTATGCTGATAACTCGACCCGAACTCGATCGAGCTGGAACAAAACCCTGAACCAGAACTCGATCGAGCTGGAGAAACTGAGACACTGCAAGACAAACCAGAGCTCGATCGAGCTCAGAAGAGAACAGACAAAGCAAACTCCAGCCAACCAGCTAAACCTGTTGCAAAGAAGAAAGACACTCCAGCAGGACCACCACCATACAAGCCCCCTCTGCCCTTTCCAGGAAGGTTCAAGAAACAACTGTTGGAAGCACACAAGGCCAAGTTTGATGAACTAATGAGACAGCTTGAGTTGAAGTTGCCCTTCATCGACGCCTTGATGCTCATTCCACCTTATCAGAAATTTCTGAAGGATGCTGTTCAGCAAAGAACCAGGGAAGCACAAGGGATGGTAGTGTTGACTCGCGAGTGCAGTGCAATCATTCAGCGGAAGGTCATCTCCGACAAAAAGGAAGATCCGGGGAGTTTCACTTTGCCCTGCATGTTGGGACCCCTATCTTTCAAAAACAGCCTCTGCGATCTAGGATCATCTGTCAGCCTCATGCCTTTGTCTGTAGCAAAGAGACTGGGATATCACAAGTACCAAGCCTGCGGAATCTCACTAGTCTTGGCAGATAGATCGATAAGGTTACCAACTGGGATGCTTGAAGACCTGCCTTTGAGGATAGGGAATGTGGAAATCCCCACAGACTTCATTGTGCTTGAGATGGATGAGGAACCAACAGATCCATTGATTCTAGGAAGGCCATTCCTAGCTACAGCAAGAGCAATGATAGATGTCTGTGAAGGAACAATTGAGCTTAAACTTGGGAAAGGACCTGAAGATGAAGTTTGATATCAAGGATACAATGAGGAAACCAACTATAGAAGGTCAGCTCTTTTATGTTGAGGAAATGGATCAGTTGGCAGATGAGCTTCTAGAAGAGTTATCAACAGAGGATCCCTACAAGTTGCTTTGACCAAGGATTCTTCAGAGGGATATGTGAGCTCAGAAACTGATGAGTACAAGAAGCTCCTTGACACCTTCAGACCAGTTCCAAACATTCTGAGCATTGAGGGATTGGACAGGCCAGTTTGCGAAGTCATGGCAGTGAGCTCGATCAAGAACTCGATCGAGTCGAGCCTCGAACAAACGAACTCGATCGAGCTGGGGCTGAATGCAAGGAGCAAGCTCAAGGAGATTGGTCTGAGCTCAAGGCGCCTAAAGTCGACCTCAAACCTTTGCCTGAGGGCCTCAGGTATGCATTTCTGGGTGAAAACTCAACTTACCCTGTCATTGTGAACTCTGATTTGGAACCTGAACAGTTGAGTGCTTTGCTTGTTGAATTGAGGAAGTACAGAAAGGCAATAGGTTACACTCTAGATGATATCAAGGGGATCTCCCCTGACCTATGCATCCATAGGATTCATCTAGAGGATGAAAGTAAGTCAAGCATTGAACCTCAGAGAAGGTTGAACCCCAATCTAAAGGAAGTAGTGAAGAAAGAGATACTCAAGTTGCTTGATGCTGGGATAATCTATCCCATCAGTGATAGCACTTGGATATCTCCAGTTCATTGCGTCCCAAAGAAAGGGGGGATCACTGTCATTAAAAACGACAAAGAGGAGCTGATTCCCACTAGAACAATAGTGGGGCATCGCATGTGTATTGACTATAGGAAGCTAAATTCAGCATCTAGAAAGGATCATTTCCCTCTCCCTTTCATTGATCAGATGTTAGAAAGATTGGCAAACCACCCTTTTTATTGTTTTCTTGATGGCTACAGTGGTTTCTTCCAAATCCCGATCCACCCTAATGATCAGGAGAAGACCACTTTCACATGCCCTTATGGCACCTTTGCTTATCGAAGGATGCCATTTGGGCTGTGCAATGCTCCAGCTACTTTCCAGAGGTGCATGACCTCCATTTTTTCAGATCTGATAGAGGAGATGGTAGAAGTCTTCATGGACGATTTCTCAGTCTATGGAGCATCCTTCTCCTCATGTTTGTCTAACTTGTGCAGGGTGTTGCAGAGGTGTGAGGAGACCAATCTAGTACTCAACTGGGAGAAGTGCCACTTCATGGTTCGAGAAGGGATTGTGCTTGGACACAAGATTTCCGAGAAAGGGATCGAGCTCGATCGAGCTAAGGTGGATGAAGGATATAAGGAGTTTTCTGGGTCATGCAGGGTTCTACAGAAGATTCATCAAGGATTTCTCAAAGATAGCAAGACCCTTGACAAGGCTTCTGTGCAAGGAGACAGATTTTGAGTTTGATGAAGAATGCCACAAGTCTTGGACCTTGCTGAAGGATGCTCTGGTATCTGCGCCAATAGTACAAGCTCCAAACTGGGATCACCCATTTGAGATTATGTGTGATGCATCTGACTATGCAGTAGGAGCAGTGCTTGGCCAAAAGATAGACAAGAAACTCAATGTCATCTACTATGCAAGCAAGACTATGGATGATGCTCAGTGCAAGTATGCAACCACAGAGAAGGAACTCCTTGCCATAGTCTTTGCCTTTGAGAAGTTTCGAAGCTATATAGTTGGATCCAAGGTGATTGTGCACACTGACCATGCTGCCCTTAGACACATCTTCGCTAAGAAAGATACAAAGCCAAGACTTCTCAGATGGATCCTTTTGCTTCAAGAGTTTGACATAGAAGTTGTGGACAAAAAGGGAGTAGAAAATGGAGTTGCTGATCATCTCTCTAGGATGCGAGTTGAAGACATGATCCCCATCAATGATTCTATGCCTGAAGAACAGCTTATGGCAATCATGATCTTGAAGGAGAGTTTTGATGAGAAAGCCAGGCTGGAAGAAGTTAAGGCTCTGCGTGATGAGAATTTGCCATGGTATGCTGATATAGTGAACTTCATGGTGTCCGGAGAAGTCCCTAGTAGCTTTGATGCTTACAAGAGGAAGAAATTCTTCAAGGATGCTAGGCATTACTATTGGGATGAGCCCTACTTGTACAAGAGAGGACCAGACAGCATTTACAGGAGATGCATTGCTGAAGAGGATGTGCAAGGAGTTCTAGAGCATTGCCATGGGTCAGCTTATGGAGGTCACTTTGCTACATTCAAAACAGCAACTAAGGTTTTGCAATCTGGTTTATGGTGGCCTACTTGTTTAAGGATGCAGCAAGCTACATCGCCAAGTGTGATCCATGCCAAAGGAAAGGAGGGATCACCAAGAGAGATGAAATGCCACTAAACCCAATTCTAAGTTGAGATCTTTGATGTATGGGGAATAGACTTCATGGGACCTTTCAAACCTTCCTCAAACGGGCACAACTACATTTTGGTTGCTGGACTATGTGTCCAAATGGATTGAAGCCATTCCCTGCCCAACCTGTGATGCCAAGGTTGTTATCAAACTTTCAGAACCATCATCTTTCCAAGATATGGCATCCCAAGGGTTGTTATTTCGGATGGAGGCTCCCATTTCATCAACAAGGTGTTTGAGAAGTTGATGAAGAGTTATGGAGTCAAGCACAAGGTCGCTACACCTTATCACCCTCAAACCAGTGGGCAAGTTGAAGTCTCCAACAGACAGATAAAGGCCATATTGGAGAAGACTGTGAGCTTCACTAGGAAAGGATTGGGCAGCAAGGCTTGATGAGGCACTTTGGGCTTATAGAACAGCTTACAAAACCCCCATTGGAAGGTCTCCTTTCAATTTGCTGTATGGAAAGGATTGCCACTTACCTGTGGAGGTCGAATACAAGGCTTTATGGGCAGTAAAGATGCTGAACTTTGATATAAAGGCAGCACAAGAGAAAGAGGGTAATGAACTTGTTTGAGTTGGAGGAAATCAGAATGAATGCCTATGAGAACTCCTGATCTATAAGATGAGAACCAAGGCAGCCCACGACAAACTGATTCGCCTTAAGGACTTCAAGGTTGGGGACAGTGTGCTCTTGTATAACTCCAAGCTAAGGTTGTTTCCCGGGAAGCTAAGGTCAAAGTGGGCGGGACCATTCAAGATTCACGAAGTTTTGCCCTATGGATCCCTCACTTTACTCAATCAAGAGGGGAAGGAATTCACAGTGAATGGACATAGATGCAAGCCATATCTAGGAATGACCCCCACAGAGGAGATCATCACTCCTCTAGAAGATCCAACCCCGGCCTAAAAGGGGTAAGGTCAAGCTAAGAGACCTAAAACAAGCTCACTTGGGAGGAATTCCCATGTCTATCTTATGTATTTATCTTTATCCTTTTATTTTTATGATTTTCTTGGCTAAGTCTCACAGGAGCAGGTTTTAGGAAGAAGAGTGGCTAACTCGAGGCACAACTCGATCGAGTCAAGAGCAAGCTCGATCGAGTGAGCCGAACCCAGTCGAGTGGAGTGCTCCTGATGGCCGTCTCCCATCTCCAGACCACGACCTAGCCTCCCAGTTCTTTGGGGGGCACTGAGGTATCCAAACACCAACCCTTGTATATACCATTTCATATTTTCTTGCATTTGTTCTTGTTTTTCTTGGTTTTGCCCTCTTGAATCTTTCACTAAATTTTCTCACACAAGGGACTGTGTGATTTAAGTTTGGGGGAGGGTTCAAGAGATGATTTAACCTTGTTTTCTTTGTTCTTAGTTTTTCATTTATCTTTTGCATAGAAAAACCAAAAAAATCATAAAATTTTCAAAAAATCCAAAAATATTTTCATCTTTTTGCATTCATATTTGTTAGACTTGTTTAGGATTGCATTTTTCACTTGCATTGTTGATTTGACTTTGAAAACTTGTCCATCTTTTGCGATTTCTTGAGTGCCCTGTTTTTAGATTCTTTTGTGCATTAGGGTGAGATTGATTGAGCAGCAAGAACCATGTTTATCTTGATCATATCACTGCATGCACATCTCATTCAACCATTGCTGTGATTTGATGCATTTCCCTATCTATTTGAACCATAACTTGATCTTTAATTACCAATGCTTGCATTTGATTTCAACTCATGGCTACCACATACATATCTGGACATTCTTTACCTATTTTCATATCCCTTTGCTTGTCCAGATAGCTGATCTCCATCTTTGAGACAGTTACCACACCTTAAACCTAAGCCTTTTCATTTCAAACCCCATATTATCTCTTGTGCGAATGTGAGAACCTTTCTTGGCTTTGCTTAGCATAAGGTGTTGTGTTTAAACCGGCAGGGGCAGTAGTTCTAGTTGTCTAGTTCTCTTGGGATTGTTTTCAGGCTAAGTTTGGGGGTGCCAACTCGAGCTCGATCGAGTTGGGTGTCAAAAACCAGAAAAGTGGTAAAAGTTGGGAAAAACCCAAAGTAAAAAGAGTTTAGTTAAGTCCAGGGAGTTGGCAGTGTTAAAAAGGGTCTAGTAAAGGTTTGGGAAGTTAAAAAAGGAAGTAAAAAGGGTTCTAAGTAGAATGAAAAGAAGGCAAAGCCTCAAGTGTCAAAAAGGAAAGAAAAGTTCCCTAAGTGTTTAGAAAATCCCAAACCGCTAGATGTTACCTCAAGAAGCCTCTCCCTAGGAAGTTCTTAAAAGAAAAGTGAGCAAAGCTCCTCAGTTTCAAAGGCGAAATGCCAAAAAGGGTAGTTAGGATTTTGTTCTAAAAAGCTCTAAGTGTTGAACTCGATCGAGTTAGGATTAGGCGGCTCGAGCTGCTGTTCTTGCATCATCTTTGGTTCTAACACTTAGCCTTCTGCCAAAGCAAAGCCACTTTCTTGAGAGATCCCTGTTACTAAACCACCATACAAAAGAGACCCTCTTTGTCTCTTAACCCATAAACCCTTGAAACCAAATGAGTTGATTGATCTTGCATGTTTTTGGTTCACTGTTTTTGCTTAATGAATGTTAAAGGGATTTGCTGATTTGAATGCATTGTTTGAGTGACTGTGAAGTGGGATTGATGTTGATAAGCATGGTTAAATCTTAATGAATATCTCTCACCTTGTTGCATTCTAGAATCTCTAAGTTGGACATTTAGCAAATCGCTTTTGAGGACATGTTTTTAAGTGTTGAATCAGCTTTTTTTCAAACCTCATCTCTTTCTTGTTCTATTTGTTTGCTTGAGGGCAAGCAAAGTTCAAGTTTGGGGGTGTTGATGTACTTGCATTTTACATAGTTTTAGCACATCTTTTATGCATCTTTTGCATAGTTTTAGCTCCATTTGCATCATATCTTGTTCCTTTTCTCTTCTTATGCATTCATAGTAGTTTTAGGTTGCATTTGCATACATATGCATGTTTGGTCCTTTGAAATAGGTCTTTTGGAGCATTCTGGAGCATATGGGACATGAGGAGCATGGAGGGACTTGGCACATGGACGCAGCTCAACTGGATACGCAAAGGAAGAAGGGAGAAGCCATCTTGAAGACCAGCTCGACCGTCCACTCGACCAACCGGTCGAGTTCCTCAACTCGACCGGCCAAGCTTCAACTCGATCGAGCTGAGAAGTCAACAGTCAAACCCGAAAAATGTTGCTTCCCCCTTGACTTTCCTTTGACCCTAAACCTAATCCTCTTTGTATTTAAAGGCTCTAAGCCACGAAAAAACCACCAAGCTA